GGGGCCGGAACATCCCGGAGCGCAGATTACCGCTTGCTTTTGTAATTAACCGGGGCGTCGGGCGACGGGCGGCTTCCAAATCCATTTCTGTGTTACATTTTCATTTGCGGCGCTCTTGCAGCCCCTTGCACCCCGCCGCCCGCCGCAGCGCGGATTACCCGTTCCACGCCACCGACTCGCTTCCTGTTTGTGCGAGGATAAGTATACAATCCGCAAGCGCTGAGGACAGCTATTCTTTATCCCGTCCCTATAGTATTTATGGGACTGTGTTACGGACTACGAATACATATTTCTTTAACCCTCTTATGATGAGAGCTTGTAAGGGCAAAATTCCTACTATTCAACTGTGATATTATTTGTAGAAAGTAATCTTTATTTTACAAATTATTTGATAAGTTAATAAATATAATATAAGTACACTGACAACATTTTATAACATTTTATGTGACTTTTATCACAAGTACATAGATAGTAGTACACCTAAATCAAATACTTTATACACGTAAGATTTGATATCGTCGTGTATGAGTAGTGTCACTGCAAGTGTTTGTTTAGTCTGCGCAAACACGCGGGTAGGTACGATTTGAGGAAGTGAGTCAGGCCCACACGAACCGATATCTCCGGAGGCGTAGCCGTCAGCGATCCGAAAACACGCAAACATCGAGTTCAAAAAGCCTCTCGAAGATTGTAAATATTGATCGAGAAGCGGGATCGAGCCGGCGGCGTAAAACGAGGGCTCTAATAGTCTCCATACCCGGCACAACACAAACAAGACGGTCGCACGACGCGCCTTTTAAAGTATTCACTCAGAGGGTATCGATCCGAAATAATTTGACGCTTCCTCAACTATGAACCGGAGGCAGTCGTGTTACACAGATCTATATCTTACTCAAAATAACTGAACATTTTGTTATGGAGGCGGAAAGTGTTGTCGTTTTACAACCGTGCTTATGAACATGGGTTTAAAATGCTTTAAAAACATTTCCCTTCTTCAAATATTTAAATAGCCTTATACGTAAGCAAATAAAGATAAAGTAAATTATCAGTTTTATCAGTACTTGTATTAAAAGTTCTTATAAATAGGCTTATGTAGGATAAGTGTAAATGAAATTACGATTAACATTATTAGCAGATATCTTTTACACTCTTTTGTATTTTTTTTATCGTTGTAATACTTGGTGACGACCTGTTCGTTCAAGTCAATAAAATATGTTTTAATAAAATGTGAAGTTATCTTACCGTTTCCCTTGTCATCAGGTCTGTGAATTTCAGGTGGTTTAGCTAAGACTGATAGTGGATGGTGCGGCACGCCGAGACCGAGCAGGCCCGCTGGGGGAAGCGCGCCCTGGCCTAGCAGCGGCAGCGGCGGCGCGCCGTGCGCCGGCAGGTGCGCCGCGTGCATTTGTTGCAGTAACCGTGGCAGATCTGGTCGTTGTTGCTATAAAAGAAAATACAATATTAAAAATGTATGTAGTGAAAACTTTTCAAGAATTGGCATAAAAATAACTTTATTACGTCAGTTCGTTAAACATAAAACGTTTCCTTTACAGCTTTCATCTTTAAGTTATAATAAAATATAGGCGTTTAAAATATGTAGTAAGACCTCTAATCTCTACCTGAAATCATGCCTGTGGCAATACACACAGTTGTGCACAGATCAAGTGATTCTGTCGCAGGGTGTATTTTTAAACTATCAAATTAAAAAGTCCCTCACGGGCCCCTCCCCTACGCGCGGTGATATTTTAAAATTTAAATGAGAACCCCGCTGCCGGCGGCGTCGAGTGGGCGAAATTGATTACTCCTTCTGCATTATTCCCCTTTTTCCACTCAGCGTTCGGCGCTTCCCTCTCCTATCTCGTCTCGTTTAAGTTTATTAATACCCGCACCCTGATCTTTACTCGTTACTACTCTATCGCTTCCGCTCTCGCGTGCGCGTCCGCCTCCGCCCTGACCCACTCGACAACGCCAGCAGGGATTTTTTTCGCTCCGCCGAGCGGGATATTTTTTTCACCCGTCGAAAATTAATTGGTTTTTCGGCGAGGGTGGAACATGTTTTTTATTGGCCGCTCGCTGCTGTGATTTATTGTGTGTCAAAAGGTGGCGAGCGCCACTTAGCCCGAAGTGCGTTTTCATCGAGGGGATTTTGATAGGTATAGTAAATTACTTCTATACCAATTACTTCAAAACAAATTCTAATAACATCAAAATATGTTTGATCGCGTCTATTAGGTAATTAACGTTGCGTGTGGCGTGGGCGTCGGTAATGGTCATGTTTTTATAATTAGACAGCGGCTTCGAGGTATAAACATTACATTCCAAATATTGGACCGGTTTACTAAAGTTAAACCTGTCAGTATAGCGGATTTACGATTCGAACATGTTTTGTTTCATTTTTATTAAAGGCAACGTGTAAAAAGTAGAGAGACGGGTAAGTGCAAAACCCCTGGAGGAATCTAAACTAGAGTGGAGACACAAAGTCGTGGCACGTTGAAACGGCTGGTACAACACGAGCCGCTATCGAGAGCGACCGCCCATAACCTCAACCCCTACCCCTGCCCCCTCCACTCACCTCCCTCGCGCCTGTTATGAATGACAATAACGTGGCGTGTTGATATTTCGTTGCGATATTTTTTTTGGCTCGCATACTCTGAAGTGATTAAATGTGGGTAATAGTCTCCGGGGCATTATGGTTTTTGCCTCATTTTTTCAAGTAATACATATTTAATATTTGTGTCCCTATATCCCAGTAATGGTAACTGCTAACTATGTCATAGGTTCATATCTCAATTACAAAGTGTTTTATTATCTTTTATGTAAATTAGCATTGCATATTTATACAATTAGTAAGTAATGTGCGAGTTAAACAGGATCGATAAAAACTGAACATTACCAGGTTTATTGTTAATTAAAACTTAACCTACCTAATTATCGTTGCAATATTTTTACATTGTTTTCGTGGTTTTAATTAGCTTATTCATTATTCGACAGGTTTTGTAACTCAATACTTTGTTAATTTCATATCTAATCTTACAAATTACACTAGTTATATGAAAAAGTACTAAATAATATATAGGTACCGATAATGCATGACATCCCATATCAATTGAATATTTGATTAATTTCTAATGAACAGATTTAAATTGTAAATAATGAAAGCCTTAAATTTCCCTCATATTACTATTAAATAGACTTATGTCGTAGCGTGAAAAGATTGTTCAAAAAAGTTGTACCATGTAAAAAAGAAAACAAAAATGTTCTCCCCCACGTTCGATGTAATGTTATTAGGATGCGAGAGAGCAGACGTGCTCGCTCTTGAAAGCTATTGTCGCGAGAATAATGCCCCAACGCGGTCTGGTTTTCACACCGCATTTACTGTCTCAATGTCATCGGATTATTATTTATTCAGATATTGCTTATATAGGTCTGCTTAAAATCTTGCGTATTTAGTTCATTTTATTTGGAAATTGCAGACTTTTGATTTGGTATCAGCACCCTAAGTTAAGATTAGCATGACATGCATGAGGTATGACGAATCGCGTGTAACAAGAAGGGCATTAGTGAGGTACACCGGTAGACATAGAAAGAGATTGGTGGATTACGTGAAGGGTGACATGATCATGAAGGGACTGATGACTGAGATGTCGGATGATAGAGTTATTTGAAGGACGAAAATTCGGTGCGACGACACTAGTAGAGTAGGATAAGGTAGGGGAGATGATCAACCTCCTCAGCTCATCACATTACAAATTATACCACCGCTAATTCATACCTAGACATTGGAACTTTTACGTCTAAGGCTTGGATTAGAATTGTAAGATATTTAAAATTTATTCATTTAATTAACTATTAATATTATTCTAAGTGAGTTAAATGTTGGATATGTAATAATTAGGTAGCAAGGAATGTCCAATAAGCTAAAGTAATACGAAAAGAATTTTATAAATTCACAGCGTTGGAGCAATAGAAATGGAAAAACAAGAGGTGGCGAAACAGTCCCCTGGTAAAGGCTAACCGAAGCCGACAGCGTTCGCTGTAAAGAGGGCAGTTTATCGAGACGGGGTGGCAGGAGTGTGGGTTGTGGGGGCACTGCGGGAGGGGCGGAGGAATGGGATCAGTCCTCACGCACCATTAGACGGGAAGCCTCGAGGCGGCACGCGACGTCGACACGTGTTACACTTTCAACGTAATTGCTTCTAATGATACATCAGCTATATTGTGCCCTATCGACAAATCTAAACACCATTTGTGGAACTAGAGCCGTTTCTTGTTAACTTTTCAATTACGATGTTCGTTGGTTAGAGGCGTGGTCTATTTTCATTGGTAAAATTTTTCAGCCTAAAGAAAATGTTGTATAGAAGTAAAAACGCGACCTTCTCTATACATTTTTTTGTTTAGCCTGTGTATTAAAAAATATTTATTTAAAATGACATACAGTAAATTATTCACCGTATGCATACATTTTTCTTTACCTTTATCCTTTTTATGAACATGAAAAATATCTCGAAAGATCAGCGACAATCAAAGACAACAGTAACAGATAAAGCGTTGATTGAAAGTTTTATTTAGCATAATTAGCGTTTTATTTGTAAGAAGAAAGTACAAGGTGTTAACATGCGGTTAATTTAACACGGGAATCATAAGAAAACTAGAAAAAGAAAGACATCCGCAATGCAATATTCATTATCCGCTTCGGGACGTTGTCTAGGAAAAAAATGACAAATTCCCGTAGCTCGCTCGAGTGCCACTAGTTACCCGGGCGGCGGCATTTCATTTCCCGTCATCATTTTTTCACTCGACGCCCGCAAACTGGATGAGAATCTAACATTATTTATAGAGCTATTGACTGAGAAATAAACGGAGCTAGTGAGCTTGTATTTGTTGGGAGCGTCGAGATTGTTTATATGTCACCACAGATAATATTCCGCTAACTACCGTATAATAATTACTCTGCGGTGTTATTTCAATTATGATATTCATATTTACCTTTCGTGGTATATATCTTGTAGATGTAGGTATATCTTTTGTGGTGTAAGAGACATGTAAGATTTATATCGCGTATAGTTGGAACGGGGTTGCACGTCCTATCGATTTGCAGATGTTTCGTGAATATTGTTTCAATGTGAAGAACATTTGTGTCATGTAGGTGAGCCAAGGGGGGATCGTATCTGGAAGCTATTACCTCGACGGTCGGGCACCACCCCTGCTCGACGATGCGGAATAAAATCAAAACGAGAAATGATATACCCGCCCGCGCAGCTAGCGTGCCGTAGCGACGATGTCGCGATAAATTCTCTGTTATTGTAGATCAATTCACGCACGTTACCTTTACACAATAGTCACTTGGCACATTCAAAGTCGTTCCCGAGATCTTGATTTGTACGTAGGGGAAATGTATTTTCATCGCGCACTAATAAACCAAATAAAATAAAAGAATATACTGCGGAAGCTTGTAAACAAAGTTAATGAAAAAGACGACATTAAAAACAATACTTCTCGTAAAATAGGACGCTTATGTTCGGAGGTTCACTTGAGACGGTAAGTGATTTTAATAGTCGAGCAAACAGTCCCCAATTTGAGGAGTATTCCCTGTTCACAAATCGGCGTGCGGCGGAATCGTTGCAAATCAGACGGTGTGGAGAGGAGACGCGGGCGCGGGCCGCTCCCCAGGGAGAGCCCCTTTGATCCCTCGCTGACCCCAAAATAAAAAAGGTTCGTAATAAAAAAGGACCGACATACGGAAGGTGGCGCCGCTTTTTTATTTAAATTAGAGTGCTTTATAGGGGAAAAGCGATATTGCGTTTTGCCGGCTTCTCTCCAAAAACGGTAAAATATACCTATAGCGATCTTGTAAATTTCGGAGTCGATGAACTTTAAGGAGAGGTAAAAGAAAAATGTGCAATATTGCAAATTTCTTTTAAATATTGCTACTTAAAGTATTATATTACTTTCAGCAAATCTACTAGTGTGCAATTTAATAAATATTTTTTTTAAGATAATTGCTTGGCATTTTAGCATTATAAATTAAATTTTATCTGATCTTTATTCACCTCTTAGCAATTATTTAAAAACTTGTGTCGTGTGTAAACTTTTAAATGTACAAGAGCGTAGAATGGCGAGGCCGGACAGGTAATTATCAATGACTATTAACACGACGCAACTTCTAAAGATCTGTATAAATAATTCATAAAATTGTTGATTCGCGGCCAACATTTAAAATCACTTTCAATAAATGTTCGTTTAAATATTTTATTATGGGAAAATTATAAACCAGATAACGTGACAGAAATTTGGTTATTTTTCTCAACAGAAAAACAGATTATTAAGCGTATTTACGTGTTTACGAGTTTGCGATCACAAATAAGGTTTCATTTGCTATTATTTAAAGAGTTTATGAATCAATCTAAATAACGTTTTTATTTGTGAAACATATGTTAGATACGTGACGTAATACTTTAATATGAAGTTGACTCGTCTGTACTGAACAATTGATAAAATGCGCGGTGTTATTGCAGTTTGCTCGATAAAACATAAGATTTTTATGTGATAAATCCATGTCAGGTGGTGATTTGAATTCATAAGTGGCGAGTGTCTGGTGATGTTACTAATCGTGTTGGCGCACATCCAAGTCGGCTCGAGCTATCGAGCGCACTGACGAACGACGAGTGTTTCACCGCTTTATTTTGGAACTCATTATCTACAAAGTGATTAATTTTAGCCGTCGACTACCCTGGATACCAAACGACTCGTTGAAATGTGCGAACGATTTAATGATTTGTTTATTATTTCTACACATTGCGGTCGTAGAATTGTGTGGTTCGCCTATAAATATATTGAATAGCAATGCTGTGGATTGTAAATTAATTTAACTATAAGATTTTATTCGCAACTAACATCTTTTTGTCCCAAAATAGTACTGATGAAAATAATTACACGGTTATTCATTACACGGATTCAAACCCACAACCACAGCTTTTTAATTGTAAGAACACCCAGTTATCGACAGCGACGAGTGGCACACTATTGTAAATTATTTAAATTTCGATGTGAAACGCTAACAATGACTAAAGTCGTAGATAAATGAAGCAATTGTGATATTACTTAGAAAAACACTTCGCTAGATTTGTTTAACAAGCGTATGCGAATTGATGCGAGCTCTAATACGACTGTAATGTACGTGTTTTCATTAGGCGGTACACACTAATAGTGTAGCCTCGTTCACATGTCACATCCAGTTAGACATACCTATATTTTTGTTAAGAAATTATTTTTACGTATTGTTTTTGTTTACAGTTACACTTAAATGACACTGAAATTTGGCATTGAAATGTTTACACTAGAATAATAATTCACCCGAGGCTTCTTAAAATCCAACCGACGTAATTTGTCACCCAAATATCCAATTAGGTTACGTTGCTCTTAATGTTTGTTTTTAAACGTAAAATCACATCGTGAGATGGAAAGACGTCGAGTTAATGAGACAAAATATTTTCATCTCGAACGTATTCGAGTTGGTAGCAATTTTATCAATTCGTTGGCGTTGGCGAGCAGCCAGCAATCCGGCTAAGACCGTTTAATTAACGATCGTAGAACTTTCGACCTGTTGAAAGCACCGCCTTCACGGAATTAACTTATTTTACACCACTCCTCCCATTCCCTCGTTCGGTTCCAACGGATATATAGTACGGTCGACCGCTACGCCGACTTGGTGTTTCACTTGCTATATTCTAATGTAAATCTTGTTATATTAAGCCGTGTTAAGCGGTTAACATTATTAATTAATGTTTAACATTTGAATTTATGAAATTGTTATTCATATTTAACAAGTCAAACATCTTTTGTAAAGATAAAATTGAATGGGTTACTTTATAAAAAGGTAAAGTTCGTCGTAAGTATTTGAGATAAGATTGTTCGAACATCATCCTTATCGAAGTTATCTTTGAGGTCGTATATTCTTTATTGAAAATTCTTTAAACGTGGTAATATTTTTACTGTATTTACAACCTTATTTCTAAAGAGGACCAGTCTGATGTAGATAGGTCCTTCGCCGTGTTTTACATGAGTAAATTAACACTTATGTATGAAAAGACAGAGCAAATTGAATCTGTTATAGGGTTGTAAAATTTAGAACGAAGGTCGCGTCTTATTTGATCTGTTAAAAAAAAGTGATGTTTAATCAATTAAAGTAGATAGAATGAAGTCTTATATTCTCGTAACGTGAGAGACAATGAGTAATAAAGTACGGCATCGAGCAGTGGATTGTTTGGACAGATGCCACAAGGCGCGGGGGCGGCCGTCGGGAGAGGGCAACACTGCTAAACATTCCACGGCACATTTACATCGGGCCGCTGTACAAACAAAACACGTGTTTAAATCGCTCCAGCCACGTTAGCCCGCCAACAAATTAATAGTCATATCTTAGCTAGAATTTTAACATAATTTATGATATGTTATACCCGCTGTGTTTAAATGTTTACGCGTTTCCATCGGCGCTTCGTGTAAATTGCTAAACGGGGTTTACACTTCATGATAAACATATTCATTCGCGATTTTTATTATTCAAAACATAGAGTAGCGTGAAGAATAGAAACTTGACTACAGACTTTGACTACAGACTAAAGCAACCTTTTACCAGTCTTCGTCATTTTTTTAAATGTTGAGTTTCATGTATATTTTACATGTATCGAAAATAAACATAGCAAAGTATCATAAAATAAAAAAAGTGTAGAGCCGTAATCGATTTCTTTACGAGCCATCTGTGCAAATATTCTGGCATTGACGGCTGTACTTCAATACATATAACCGTTTCAACATCTGAATAAACTAACACTACATTTACCATCACTCGATATGGACATTACAATGTGCAGTTTTCGATAACTAAATAAACATGTACGGTTACACAAAATAATGATGTTATAATGATTCACGAACGTGTAACAATTACGCCCATCATCGAAAGGTATCGGCTATCTGATATTAAAGACCTTGTCAATTTAGAGAGTAATTTAGACGGTGTTAGTATGGATTTTGTGTAAGACATGATATGTTTTCTTGTAGCATGTTAAATCAACATCTTACTCAGTTCCATGTAAAGATACAAACTAAAATATTCCTTTTTTTTCAATACATATACACATATTGTAGTGTCTTGCATAATGTAGAAGGCTTACTTTCATTGGATTGGATACAGACGTATGATGTTAAAAGCTACACACTACACTATGTTAGATGAGGAAATTAGTATTAATGTATGCTTACCCCAATGATTGCATTAAGTTCTGTCATGGTAACCTGTTTCGCTCGTTCCACAGCGGATGCAACCTGCTGTTGGTGTTCTTGCGACAGGAATGGCAGGATCTGAGCTATTATTGCGTTCAGTCTTTTAGCGATCTCCGTCTGTAATACAATAATAATGTTAGAAAAACAATAATTAAAACATTATGTATGATTTATTCTATCATACAATCTAGTTACTTTCTATGAGATGATTCTTTTATTTGTCTGGTGCTATTGTTTTATTAAATTAACTAGCTTTCGCCCGCGACTCCGTCCGCGTGAAATTAAAAAAAAACAAAAGTGAGTAGCCTATTATTTTTTCCAGACAATGCTCTACGTCTATGCCAAATTTCATTTAGATCCGTTTAGCCGTTTAGGCTACAAGCTCTAACAAACATCCACCCAACCATCCATCTAAACTTTCGCATTTATAATATTAGTTAGATTAGATTAAGTTCCAATTCCAGAATTTAGATTGCCAGTATAGCTAATTAATTACAATATAGACATAATAGGCACACTGAAAGGCAATTCACAAAGCACATGAAGGTAACTAAGCGCGTAATTAACATATTATCGTACGATATAACGGCGGTAATCAATGAAGTGGCGTGCCGTTAATAATTACACGTATAAACTGCACCGCAAAACGTTGCCGCAATACAACGCGGTACAAATTCAATAATAACCCGACTATACATAATTGCAACTGATAAAGCGAGCGGGTGCGATGAATAAATTATAGTGATAAACAATGCACGCGGGAAATAAACTAGATCCCTTGTTACGGTCGCCGCACATTCACTATTTGATTGCGAGATCTACGCATGCGAACATAAGGCCCCTATGCACGGACAGCTACGAACAGTTTACAACATGAAGCCGTCCGTGTATAGTTACACTTATCCGCGTGAGAATCCTTATGGTCTGTGATTGCTACAGTAGCTAACTGCACGTTTAAATTTAGACGAGTTACTGAATTCAAAAAGTTACATAGAAAAAAATTACTGTTTCTTTTTTATAAATTTCATATTTTATTTAACAAGTCAGAAATAATGTGTTTTCCGTTTCCACAATTGTATATTTCTACATTTTTAATAATTGTATGAAATAAACGAAACACAGGAGTACGTTAATAAAATATTTACAAGTATAATAAAAATAAGACAGAGAATTTTCGAAATGCAAATGGCCTGATATAGAAATCAATAGCGTGATAGCTGTTCCAAGGTTGAACGACAGCTATTCATAAATACATCGACCTTATTATTAGCAGTTATGAAACACGCTAATCGCTAATAGGCTATTTATTGATGGAAATGATTTTGATAACTGAATAGCTAATGAACTCGCATTTGCATATTAATTATACCTCTATTACGGAATATAATTTATACGATCGGTAACTTCTATAATTTATACATCTATTTAGTAGATATTTTTGCATTCATTTTTCTTAGCTTCATTAGAATACGTTTCTTAATATTCAATGAATTAGCTTATGAATATTTATAATGTGATAAATAAAATAAATGCAATTTTCTGTACACTTAAACCAGTGACCTATATAAATAGAAAAACTTTAACACGTACAATTTAGTGCCTATTTAAGTTTGAAATAATAATAAAGATAGAATTAACAACAATTATTAACGATTAAGGTTGTTAACAATGACTTAATCTATATTAACTGACGAAATAGTGATGAAATAAAAGCTTATTCCAAGCAATGACCTATCCATTCATATAGTTCAGTGATATAATCTGCGAAAACAAGTTCAATATGGCCAATAACAGAGCGATGATTCAGTGTTGCGGCTACAACAGTGGCGGTTACAACCGGAATGAAAGTGCAATTTGCGGACAGCGGCCGCGTACTTTTCGCGTCACTGATGCTGTCAAAATTGTCCTGTGGGCGAAATATCAAATGACCGGATTTACCAATTGATGATAACATGAAATTATTGCTATACAAGTAAATCACCATAGGTTTCTTCATGTGATTTTCATTTTAAATACCAATTGATTTATTCTATCGCTATTATTATATTACTAGATAAGTCGGAGATGTTAAAATACAATGGATTTACACTGTCAAACAAATATAAAGACGTAATGATGTGATTATCGCATCAAACAGAGCTAACAATGAATGAGTCACGTTGTTATTGAATTACAAAATGTTTTTGTCGGTGTAAGCGATACACGCGACACAATTGTGCAGGGCGCGGCGATCAACCGCAAATCACGGCCGCATACTGTTCGCCGCTACACTTTATCGCAGAGTCGATCTAATCGCGTTTGCTATTCCATTATTAAACATATTTGTGATTTTATACGAAAGGAAAACCTTATCTGATAGCCGTATTTCTAATATAATAGAAAAAAATTAAAGTGATGACCAGGTCTAGTCTCAATTTTTTATTTACATCGTAATCTTAACTTTATCTTTTGAACATGTTACTTATGAAAGTAGAAATCTAATAAATACTACAATATTTATCTTAACAAACAACTTAACGTTTTATTTTGTAATATGCTTGTTATGTTCAATATTTATAATTATAAACTAAACATAATAATGCGTCATTTAAAGATATTCATGTCTCGTCGTATAGTAGCGTAAATTGAAAAGTAATGAGCAACGAAATACGTTTGAAAAACGGCATCCACATTCGTATACGTCGGAGTTGCGCTTTATAAATGCTTGGAAACGGGGCTGAATAAAAAGCGAGCCACAAAAGGGCCGCAAAATACATACTTCAGTGAGCTCTCCACAAAAGATATAGTAAGGTTTGTCATTAAGGAGTTCATCCCCGCGCGAGAAATAAAAGAGGTACGTCGGGGTTTGAGAGTGCGGGGTGCGGGGCTCGCGGGGCGGCTGGGTGGCGCGGGGTGGCGTGCACTAATGGCTCCGACACTCATCCGCTAATGCCGCGGGTGACTCCTCTTTTTGTACGATTTTCACGTGGTTTAGTCGGTCGAGCTTTTAATCTGGAACTGCATCTTGCAGCGATGCTCCATTTAGTTGCTACAGACCGTGGAAACGTCATCAAAATACATTACTATTTTTTTCAATTTCACTATTCATGACTCGTTTTATTCTTAAAACTCTTGCTTCTTCTCTGCTTTATTTAGACTCTTTAAAGTCCATTATTAGGTCGTTTCGAGATGCTAAGTGAGGTTAATTTTTAAGCGAAAGCTTTTGGTGTAGAGAAATAAAAATTTATATTTAAAAAGACAGAAGTTCTACGTTGGAAAGTTAAATGCCCCTCACTACGATAATATGTTAACAGAGTGTAAGGTTTATTAACACAAATGTACAATTCTTCGATTGTGGGAATCGCAAGCTGAGTAAATACCGAGTGCTAGAGTTGCAGAGTGAGGGGGTGTGGGGTGAGGGTGTGAGGGGGGTGTCGCGGTGCACATGGCGCAGGCAGGAGGTGGTGACCCAGATGTGGCTGCACATTGTCTACTGTCTACCAATGCTCGCCTTACTACGGACACGTTGTACGCCAATCCTTTAATATTTCACAGAACGAAACTTTCCGCTGTATACAAGTAATAAAAAATTAACGGTAACGTCAATTATCTTTGAAATAATTAACTTGGTACTGCAGCAAGTAAAATAGTATGCGGGTAATTAGAATTTCCGCGAAAAAATTAGCTTACGAGCTTTCGTGATATCTCAATCATAAAACGCATGAAATGGAAATAAAATCTTATGAAAGATTGTAATGAGAAATTAAAACTAAATGGATTTGTATAATCATTGAAGGAGGAAAATTTAAGAATATCTTTACATAATTTGGACAATTAATCCGTTAGTCTGCAACAATAGGTGGGAAGTTGCAGCACTTGGAGAGATGAACTTTAGCCGCGATTGTGTTGAGCAACACGCGACCGCGAGCCCCAGCTGCGGTTTCTCTATTAATGGTCGAGCAGAGCTCTTTTATGAATTATTTAAGCACGCCTCGCCGTGCTCCACTTGGCCGCAGCGCTGGCGAACTTTACACTTTATTAAACGAAACAATCGACACTAGACACTCACTGAAAGCCATTGAACTGTTACGATGTCGACTGCATGACTAGACAAATTACATTATTTTGTTTCAATCGAGACTGGTGTTTTTTATGCTTTAAAAGATTACACATTTTATTAAAATAGTTATATCGTAATTTTGATTAGGATCATCACTACTCTCGTTACGAGCTTGTCACCTTATCACAAAGTTAAAGGTTTGATAAACTCCTATGATAAACTTGACATACACCATTCATAAATAACGATATAACTTCAATGTAAAGATGTGTATCGGGTAACGGTGGCCGCTATCGGTTAGATTTGTATTACGATTAGATAGTGGAGTGGGCGACTGCGATCGAGAGACCGCTATCTTTGAGTCATGACAACGTCACTCATCGATTGCTAACGTACGCGCTCGTAATGAAAAAATGAAGACATAAAAATCGAGTGGTTACAATTCATATTCGTTATAAACAAATAGATAATAATTACTCGGCTCGAACGAGTCGATTCGAGTGATATCGAGTGTTCGAGTGAAGCGGGAGACATCGTTATCTTGATATCGGATGTTGAGTGCGTCACAAGACCTGTATAGTACAGCCGGGGCGGAGGCGGGTTGAGAGCGACGTAGCTCCCTGATCCGTGATCAGATAGTACGCGGTCGAGAGGCGGCGTGCTCCACCGAGCCCCGCTCGATCCTCTAAACCCCACAATAACGAACCGCTAAGAACAATACACTACGGCGATGGCGTACACTTTTACGTACATTTCACGTATTATGATTACCCCCTTTGTTTTACGAGTATGATTTAAGTAGGATGGGGCGTACTTCTGTCAAGAGACAACTGTTTATCGCAGTTTCTGTTTAATGTTATTTCTATTCAGGTAGTGTTAAGTTAAGCTGATAAGTTTCTGATGAATCACGTTTAGTAGGTAATAATTTTTTAATGTAATTCTTATTACGCGATATTCCTGTTATATAAATGTTTTTATTTTATAAATTATGTTGTAACTTTATAAACATATTTTCAACATAAAATGTTGTCGCCTTCTAACAAAGTTTATGAGCGTACAGTTTGTTGACTTGCGTGTT